GTCCTGGTGTAGTCCTGGTTTAATTCTGGTTTTAGAGTCCTGGTTTAATTTTGGTTTAATTCTGGTTTAGTCCTGGTTTAGAGTCCTTAATTAGTCCTGGTTTAGACCTGGTTTAATAGTCCTGGTTTAGTCCTGATTTAGTCCTGGTGTAGTTTCCTGGTTTAGTTTCTGGTTTAATTCTGGTTTAGTCCTGGTTTAGTCCTGGTTTAGTCCTGGTTTAGTTAGTCCTAAATTTAGTCCTGGTTTAGTTCCTGGTGTAGTCCTGGTGTAGTCCTGGTTTAATTCTGGTTTAGTTCTGGTTTAATTCTGGTTTAGTCCTGGTTTAGACCTGGTGTAGTTCTGGTTTAGACCTAAATTAGTCCCGGTTTAGTCCTGGTTTAATTCTGGTTTAGTCCTGGTTTATATATTCATACGCTGTAAAAAAAAAAAAAAAAAAAAAAAGCAAAACTGCACAAAAAAAATCCAGGAAACAGCGAAATCGCGAAAGTTGAACCACGACACGAGGGACGACTGTGATCTGCAAAATCTGGTATTTTTAACGAACAAAAATGAGACACATGAAGCTTTTCTCACTTTAGATTTTAGATTTCGGAAGAGGAAGCACAACTTTTACTCCACTCAGAGTACCGTTACTTCAATAAAAATATGACTGAAGTAGGAGTAAAAGTACGCAGCAAGAAAAGTACAATTTCTTTAAGACTTTGCTCGGGAAATGTAACTGAAATGGTGAAGTTTTATTCTCAAACTCGCTGAATTTGAAACAGAATGGGGCTCTGGTGGCACCCCTGTCCCACCCCCGTGAAAACCACCTGGACACGCCCCCGTTTAGACACAAATTAACGAAACAAAACGGCAAAAAATTAAGAAATATTTAAATAAAAAGAGCAAAAAAAACAAAGGCCTGAGTCAGAACACATGAGCATAAGACACGTTCGCTGAGAGGATTTGGCACGTCAGAACCGGGGCTGGGGCCGGAGCGCCGCGAGCATGCAGACCCGCAGCGGCGTCTCTCGGCCTGAAGGGGGCGCGCTTAGAGGCGGGAGCGGGTGGAGGAGCAGGAGCAGCGCACGAATGCAAGCGGAGACAGTCGACGGAGCCAGCGGTCGGCGCATGCAGGCGAGCAAGATGCACTTCAGAAAACGTCAGGCCGCGTGAAATTCTCAAGGACCAAAAATAAAAATAAAAAACGAACAAAAAACAGATTTGTCTCAGAAAATGTCGAGTTCAAGTTCTAAAATTTGACGTCATAGTTTCAGACGGTGGGCAGGGGGCGATATAATTACAATTTTGGACATATTTAAATGTATTAAATTAAATTAAAAACCCACAAATGTTGAATCTTTTTCATTTTTTTTTTAGAGATTAGCTCCACAAACTTGTTTTTGAATCAGACTGAAAAGTAAAAGTTGTTTTTAAGTTCATATTTGATATTTCTTTTTTTTTTTTTTTTTGTATTTGTTGTGTTGTTGCTTTATGTTTTTGTCTTTGTTTTATGCTGAATATTGTAATTGTTAAATGTTGATTGTTGTTTTATTTTCTAAAATGTTATATTCTGTTGTCTTTAATAAAAATTAAAAAAAAAAAAAAAAAGTTCATATTTGAGCAAACAAAAATGTACAAATAAAAAAACTAAACGTTTGGAAAATATAAATTCAGTTCTTTCTGTTGGACAAACTTGAACCTCAAAATAAAAAAAAGACCTCAAAATCTCAAAATATTTTTACTTTTCACTCACACAATATTTTAGATTTTTTAAACGTCAGAAATTCAACGACAACGTTCAACAATTTGTGGATTTTCAGATTGTAAATTCACTTCGTATTTCATTTAAAACTGCCCACCGTCTGTAAATCTGACGTGACGAGATCATAAAACACAAACATAAACTTCATCAACTATGATCCATTCCAAACTAATGCCCTGTTACAAAAAAAAACAACAACAGAAGAACAGCAGAAAAAATACAAATTTAAAACGTTTTACTCTTTAAGTTTAAACAAAAAAACTCCTAACGTGTCTAAATCTTAGCTCCACACGCAGAGGTAGAACTAAGCGGGCGATGAGCGTCCAATCACAGCGCAGAACCCGACACGGCCGCCAGGGGGAGCCGGCGCTGCAGCTTCACCCTCGACGTGCAGAAGCGTCGTCGGAAGCGTCGTCCGTCCTGAATCTCTGAATCTCGCCCCCTCCTTTGGAAACGGACGACTCAGCTGCGCAGTTGTGACGCGTTTGATTTGTCCAGTTAAAAACTCCAGCTTTTCCAGTTACGAAAATACAGAAATATAATCGTCACGTAACATTAAAGTCAACAGCAGGACAAAAAAAAAAAGTCATGGAATCACTCGAGATCTTTGGAAGCCGAGTTTACCGCACGTTTGCCCAAGAATTAAGAATCGTTTCGTTCAAGACGGGAGATTTTACTTCTTTGAGGAATTCATTAATTATTTAAATCACCGTGTCGCCTTTTATTGTTTTGAAAGTTCTCCCTATGCTCTCTGTGTTGAGTCACTCCCCCTTCAGAGCACCATCGCAACACAATCAAATCAACCAATCGTGCGTCTCGCTGATGAAACTCCTGCACGTCACCTCAGTGAATTTGGTCTCATCAAATGCAAACCTACACAAAAACTGTCAGTTGTTGGTGCTGTTTTAGTTTTTGGAGACATTAGTGATTCTTTTATAGGTTAAATTTGGGGTCAGCGGCCTCCAGGAAACTTCAAAATGAAATAAAACGACACAAAATGAAGTCAACTGTTTGTGTTTCGTTTGTGTGATTCTGGTTCTTAAGATATTGTCAGTTTCATTTATTTTAGTTTGGGCTGATGACGTCGTCCAGCCTCTCAAAACGTTAAACAGCCTCAAAACAGAAAAAAATGATGCGAATCGTTTGTATTTTGTTTGTGCCGTTTTGTGGGAGTTTATTCATTATTATTTTTTCAGAAACTACATAACGTCATTTCCGTTCATCGGACGACAGAGGCTTTAAGGAAACTCCACAAAACTAGTGAAGAGAAACGATCAGAGGAAAATGTCTTTGTCAGTCTTTAGAAACTTGGCCACATCAAACGCAAACCTACACGAAAACTATCAGTCGTTTGTGCTGCAAAAAGTTTAATTTGTGCTGTTTTGTTTTAGTTTTGGAGATATTAACGATTCTTTTACGGGTCAAACTGGGATCAGCAGCCTCCAGGAAACTTCAGAATGAAATAAAACCACACAAAATGGAGGCAATCGTTTGTGTTTCATTTGTACTGCAAGAAGTTTCATTCGTGTGATTCTGGTTCTTAAGATATTAACAGTTTTATTGATTTTATTTTGGGCCGATGACGTTGTCCAGTCCCTCTAAATGTGAAACAGTTTCAAAACAAGAGAAAATTAAACCAAATGTACAAGTATTTTTCTAAAACTATTAATTATTATTTATGGAAATTATATGACATCATCTCCGCTAAGCTGACGGCAGCGACTTTACAAAACTCCACAAAACTAGTGAAGAGAAACTGAGGCTGTGGGAAAGTCTTTATCAGTCTTAAATAACTTGTTTTTGATTCATATTTTATAGAATAACACAGATTTTTCCACAGCCTCAGATTGTTTCTCTTCACTAGTTTTGTGGAGTTTTGTTAAAGCCGAGCGGAAATGATGTCATATAATTTCCACAAAAATAATAATTAATAATTGTAGAAATATACTCGCACAAATGAAAACTGTCACAGACAAAACACAAACGTTTGGTTTAATTTTCTGCTGTTTTGAGGCTGTTTAACATTTTAAGGGGCTGGACGACGTCATCGACCCGAAATAAAACTGCAAATATCTCAAGAAACTTTTTTTGTGCCGTTTTATTTCATTTTGAAGTTTCCTGGAGGCTGCTGACCCCAATTTGACCTGTAAAAGAATCGTTAATATCTCCAAAAACTAAAACAGCACCAACAAAACTTTCTGCAGCACAAACGATTGATGTAATTTTTGTGTAAATTTACATTCTGTATCATGTTTTCGTGTATTTATGTAGAACTGTCACGGGCCTGAGTGATGTATGGCTTGTGGGCGGAGCCTCGTACAAACCCGTACTGCTGAATATGGCCTGGGAGAGATCTCTAAATTACTCAAACGTGCATGGACGACTCTAAAACCTCTTGGGGCATGTCATGTTTTTGATGAGGGAATAACAATTTAACAAAATCTGAGGGAAAAAAAATTTACGTAAAACCCCGTCTTGTAACTTTCCTTAGCGACGGTTTGTGATGCCGTTACGGGTCGGATCTGCGGAGGGGGCGACCTCACTCACAGTAAGGACACGTGTTTTTTGAGGGAGTTTTGAGCAATAAAAACGCCCGTGAGTGAACAAATGCGCGACAGTTTTAGTTCTAGTTTTAGTTTTACCGCCACACTGCGGAACATTCTGAGCAAAGCACAGACGTCTCCATGGAAACAAGCAAGTCACAGAACCTTGAAGTATTAAGAATGCATAATAATCGTTAAAAGTTTTGTGATTTTTTTTTCGCCAACGTGACTTTCGGAACCTCAGCTTCCAAAGACGATTAAATATGAAAGTGCCATTTTTTTTCTTTGGATTGTAATAAAATATAGAACCATTAAAATAAAACTATACTTTGCTCGGAAACGATTCAAGACTTCTCTATAGGGAACAAAAAAATTAAAATAAACTCAGCAGGATCGATTGCACATGAGCCCGGGAATGAAACGTCAGGACACACAAATGAATTTCCCGTAATCCTCTATTGCTCATTCGCCGACTTGGAGATGTCTTTAGCGACGTGGGAATCGTCCCGGTCCCGCCCGCCCGTTTATCCGACGGGGAGGCGGTCGAGGGTGGAACGGAATGGCGGCGGACTTGATCACGGACAGCAGACACGGCACGACAGTGTAGTGACCGACCACACGGGGGCGCACACGGACACACGAGACACGCCACGAAGAAGAGGAAGGAAGGAAGGGGTCCGGGGTCCGGTCCGGGGTCGGTCCGGGGTCGGTCCGGGGCCGGTCCGGGGTCGGTCCGGGGTCGGTCCGGGGCCGGTCCGGGGCCGGTCCGGGGTCGGTTTAGGTTTACGGGGGAAAAGGGTCGACCGTCACAACTTAGAATGGCTTTAAAAGGACCCACGAAGTAAAACAAGTCCACACATATACAGGGGTTTAAGGTGAGAACGTTCTGCGGATTTTGGGGATTTGAACAGCCTCCAGATTTTGATTTTACCGTAATTTCCGGACTATCGAGCGCACCTGAATATAAATAAATATGAACTAAATAAAAAAACTGTCCATTAATCGGTCGCAGCGGAATATAAGCCGCAGGTGTCCACGTTTTCAACTTTGAACCGTCTGCTTTTGTCGTCGTTTTGCGTTGAGTCAGTTCGATTTATCAGCCGGTTTCACTTCGTAGAAACCGTGTGACCTCGCAGTGTTAAAATTTGTTCGCTCTACGTTTTTTTTTTAAACACAATCAGACAGTCATTTAACCAGTCGCTGCTATTTGGTCGTCACGTATGCAAATCCCGTAGGAAGAAGGACAATAACGTCTTTCCTCTTGATAAAATTCACCAAACATTCTCTTTGTTCCGACTTTATATCCTCGGTGCCCGAACTCGCACTTCTGGGGTTTTTGCGAATCGTCTAGTGCAGGCATGTCCAAACTATGGCCCGTGGTCCAAATGCGGCCCTCGGACAATTTTTTCTTGACCCTCACGCTTCCAGGAGAATTGGCCCAAATTACATTGCATCAATGAAAAATTTACTTCTTTTTTTTAAATTTACCTTGATAAAGCCAGCATTAAATATTTAGTTTGTGGTTTTAAGGATCTTAGCATAAATAAAGACTGAGGCTCATTCTAATGTGATAAATTATTCACTGTATTTAGCTCCAGGCTACGACCCTCGATCGACTCTCTGCTTCGTCTGGGTTCAGATTTGTGGCCCTTGATGAAAAAAGGTTTGGACACCGCTGGTCTAGTGTTTTCTGATTCCTGATCTAGTCGCTGGAGAGAAATGAAACTGAGCGGAGGCACAAGGTGACGCCAGCCGGGCTCGTTCCTCACGCTGCCGTCGCCAAAACCTCACCGTCGTGCAGCAGCAGCTCTGTTTCCTTCTTCCACGGACACGTCAGTCGTCTTAAATTTAAAATCTGCGTCATCTGCATTTCTTCGTGTGTTTTTATGTGAAGCGTGTGTGTGTGTGAAGCGCAAAATAACTGTTCAAAACACAATCAAACGAGCATCTTTCTTTTCTCCTCTCTCCTCGCGCTCTACTGCTCATGTCTCCTGCAGAAAGAGTCTCTGTTCTGTCTGGCGTCGTGTCAGAGTCTCAGAGGATTTCAGCAGATTTCAGACCCTCTCGGGGGCGGGGACAGGTGCGGGTGGACGTGTGGCTACTGAAGTTTGAGATGTTACTTCTCGTCCTTTACGCACGCGGGTGAAACGTGTCCCCCTCACCCATGTTCATTTACCATCAGAACTTATTTTCTCACACAGAGATAAACTATTGAAGCACAGACAGCGACGTTTTCTGCGCCGCGCGTAGACCGTAAATATGAACGGACAATGTGCCAAACAAAGAATAAGTCCGTATATTCGCCGTATCGTTTTATTCGTCACAGGGTTCAAAGTGTGAGGAAAAAAAGTAGCGGCTTATAGTCCGGAATTTACGGTAAATGGGTGAATATTCAGGTCAAATATTCAGAGTAAGTTCACTTTTTTTTGGTTCTTAATGTATTTTTCCTGCTCATTCATTTTGACGGAGAAGTAAAGAAAAGAAAAGAAGAGAACTAACATTTGATCGAAAGTTGTTTTGCGTAAAATGTTTTATGTTCGTCTTCACTGGAGGCTTTTAAACAGCTTTGTAGTCCGTATAAAACCTATTTGGGTATTAATTACTGTTAAATAAGTGCGACAACTAGAGTTAGTAACGTTTCTGACATGCTGACACAAGCATGCAGTTGTAGTGAACGCCATTTCACGTAGAAAATGCACAGATTTAGATTTTTGGACTAAATCTGCGCAGGAGTCCTCAGAAGTTTTTTTTGTTTTTTTTTTTTACCTATGACGTAACAATCCTGGGAAAATTTAAATCACATGTTTTTAGTGCTAAGAAGGAGCAGAAAAACAAACAAACAAACAAAAAGTTTGGTGATTACAAAACTACAAACTAAACAGAATGACGTCTCCTTAGTGTGGACTGTATATGTGTGGACTTGGTTATGACCGAGGAGCCTGTGGGTTACAGTCCAGTCTGGTGAGTGCATCCCTGCTCCCTCAGAGCTTCTTAGATCTTCTCAGAAATCCTCAGACCTGTGATATGATCTGCATGTTGAAGCTGGGGGAGCGGGACTGTTTGGTCAGAGGGGCCCCGGGGGACAGCAGTTCCTGGTCCTCGGGCCGGCCCAGGTGCTCCTCCTGCAGGCTGACGGTGGAATGACGGTGGGAGCCTCCGCTGGCTAAGCCCACGTCCCTGTCGGAGCCCCCGGCCGCCTGCCCGCGCTCCTCCGCTCCTCCGTTCAGCTTGAGGCTCATGCAGTCGAAGGACTTACTGGAGGAGGTGCTGCCCGTCCGTACCAGCCCCGCGGGGAAGCTCAGGTGCTTTTTGATGGGGCTCAGCTGGATGGTGTCCACGTCGATGCTGCCGGGAGGGGTCTGCAGCCTCTGGTGTCTCCTCTGAGCGGACTCCTCCTTCTCCCGCTCCCTCTCCTTCTCCCTCTCCTTCTCCCGCTCCTCTCCTTCTCCCGCTCCTTCTCCCGCTCCTTCTCTCTGTCCTTGTCGTGGTCTCGCTCCTTGTCGCGGGTCAGTCGGGCGCTGATGGCCTTCTTGAAGCTGCTGCTCCCCTTCTGAGCGGCTCTGGAGCTGGACTTGGTGGCGCTGGGCTGGCTGCTGTTGGACGCCCCGGAGGAGAAGCCCTCGTCTGGGTCGTTTATGTTGAAGGAGTCTTCTCCACCGCTCATCCCGTCGGCCTCTGCAGAGAGAACAGCACAGACGAGCGGTGAGCAAAAAGTCACGCCGAAAGTCTTCAGAGGTTTTCTTAGAGACACTGTAAAAGTTGACGTCAAATAAAGTCGTTTGGGACCTGTGCACGATCAGAAGCTTCATACTCAGGATTCAATAATAGTATCGCTCATGAATATTTATTATACATGCATCCCAAATTTCAGACTTCTGGTCATCGCGCAATTCACACTGGGAAGGATCCTCCAAAAAAGTGAGCATCAAACCTCCATGTTTGTTTTCCCAGTGGGATGTGTCTATTGTCAAAGTGGATCTTTTCAAGTCTTTTGAACCATATTGTTCGTTTTGTTTCTGGTTCTGATATTGTCATATTTTAGTTTTGGGATTCGGACGTCGTTAATTGTTGTGGTTGTTGGATCCTAACGGCGGAAAACGACTCGAGAAATGTGTTTGTGAACTTCATAAATGTAAAAGTGAATCAGATGTGTGTGACTCAAACCTCTGTTCAAACTGTTTCTCTTCCCAACGGAATTGAAAAATAGTGAAAGGTGAAGGTGATGGGCAGGATTGATCCACAGGAAGAACCAAAAAGGAAACATTTGTCTGACTAAATCATCCTGAGTTTGCAGAGAACATTTTGTATGTGGAGCGACGACAAAACAAAATCCCGTTTGTTAATGTAGAGGAGCAGAAGACAAACAGACTGAGCTGCACTTTCTTGTTCTTGTGGTTTTACACAAACATCACGTCTTGGTCTTTGCAGTGGAAGGTGTTTCTTGGTGAACAGTTGGAGACTTTCACTTTGGTGTTGACTTTTTAAATTTTATAACCAAGACCGAGTGAGGGATCGAGATTTTGTTTTTTTGTCGCTCCACATACAAAATGTTCTCTGTAAACTCAGGATGATTTCTTAGTCAGACAAATGTTTCCTTTTTGGTTCTTCCTGTGGATCAATCCTGCCCATCACCTTCACCTTTCACTATTTTTCAATTCCGTTGGGAAGAGAAACAGTTTGAACAGAGGTTTGAGTCACACACATCTGATTCACTTTTACATTTATGAAGTTCACAAACAAAATTCTTGAGCCATTTTCCGTTGTTTGGATCCAACAACCACAAACACCAAAACTAAAATATGACAATATCAGAACCAGAAACAAAAGTGACTTGGTTCAAAAGACTTGAAAAGATCCACTTTGACAATAGACACGTCCCACTGGGAAAACAATGTTTGATGATCACTTTTTCGGACGATCCTTCCCAGTGTGAATTAGGCGATGACCGAAGTCCGAAATTCGCGATGCATGTACTGATGGAGCTCAGATGGTCGTCAATAATGTGGAAAAGGCCCTTTTATGCCTAAACCAATGCCTATTTTGACCTGCTTACATTATAAAATCGAGCTTAACAATGTAATTTGAAATCAATCAGAATTGCATCAACTTTAAAACTATATTTCAGCTCTGAATGCAAATTTAAAATGTCCAAACTGAGCACAAACTGTGGTCTGTGGTCCAAGGCAAGAAAAATATCTGATGGAGGCTTTTTTTTCCGAAACGTTATTTAGAAATAAAAGAGCTTTAGGACATCGGCCGTCTGAGGCGCCATGCATGTTTTCACTTTTTTCTAGCTGCTCCTTGAATTTCACTTCGTAGCATAAGGATTCGTTTGCTCGACGGCAGGCGGGCACCAGCGTAGATCATCAGGTGATCAGGACTGAGACTGGAGTCCTGGACTGGAGACCGGGTCCTGGTTTAGTCCTGGTTTAGTCCTGGTTTAGTCCTGGTTTAGTCCTGGTTTAGTCAGTCCTGGGTCCTGGTTTAGTCCTGGTTTAGTCCTGGTTTAGTCCTGGTTTAGTCCTGGTTTAGTCCTGGTTTAGTCTGGTTTAGTCCTGGTTTAGTCCTGGTTTAGTCCTGGTTTAGTCCTGGTTTAGTCCTGGTTTAGTTTAGTCCTGGTTTAGTCCTGGTTTAGTCCTGGTTTAGTCCTGGTTCAGTCCTGGTTTAGTTTAGTCCTGGTTTAGTCCTGGTTTAGTCCTGGTTTACCTGGAGTCCTGGGTTTTAGTCCTGGTTTAGTCCTGTTTAGTCCTGGTTTAGTCCTGGTTTAGTCCTGGTTTCAGTCCTGGTTTAGTCCTGGTTTAGTCCTGGTTAGTCCTGGTTTAGTCCTGGACCTGGTTTAGACCTGGTGGTTTAGTCCTGGTTTAGTCCTGTCCTGGTTTAGTCCTGGTTTAGTCCTGGTTTAGTCCTGGTCCTGGTTCAGTCCTGGTTTAGTCCTGGTTTAGTCCTGGTTTAGTCCTGGTTTAGTCCTGGTTTAGTCCTGGTTTAGTCCTGGTTTAGTCCTGGTTTACCTGGTTTCCAGTCCTGGTTTTAGTCCTGGTTTCAGTCCTGGTTTAGTCCTGGTTTAGTCCTGGTTTTAGTCCTGGTTTAGTCCAGTCCTGTTTTAGTCCTGGTTCAGTCCTGGTTTAGTCCTGGTTTAGTCCTGTTTTAGTCCTGGTTTTAGTCCTGGTTTAGTTTGTATGGAATTACTGGACTTTGGTTTCTTGATTTCAGCTCTGAATTTCATTTTACTGTATATTGATAAAGGCTTTCGTTTCTATTCTAATTCCAAAAAAGTCAATGTTTCCCTTTTGCCACACGTAACCAAATTGCCGTCTGGGTTTTATTGTGATGTTCCTGTTGTAAATAAAATCACGTTAAAGCTCATTTAAATGTAGGGCAGAGTGAAGAGGCCGGTGGGCGTGAGCTGCTCCTGGGCTCTGTGGCCTGGACCGAGTGGAGCCTGAGCTTCATCGTTTGCGTGTGACGCTGGGACACGTGGGCGGTCGGATGATCCCGCTGCCCCTGAGCCCCGCTCCCATCGGCCTCATCGACTTTCGCTCGGACAGAGTCGGCTCCACAACGGCCTCGGCACAAACCACAGTGTGTCTAATGACCCGCGCTCACGATCGGCTCTGGACACTACGTCACCGGGTCTTTACCGGGAAAATCAAACCAAACCCTGTTCACCGATAAATATAAATCTCTACATGAGTTCAAATGCTTCAGATTAAAGGGCCACACTGCAAATTTCTCTGATCTGGCCAAGATTTTAAAACTTATATCAGTTCATTCATCTTGTTTTCAGATTTATTATCGACTAGTAAATAAAACCAAAAATAAGAAGAACTATTTTCTTCATTATTTGTCTCCAAAACCAAAATGAAAAACTGGATAAGGATTCGTTCTGCGATGTGTTGTATTATTGTTTGAAAAGTGCTCGATAAATCAAGTTTGTTGTTGTTCTTCCTGTTGTTTTTTCATATTTCGATTTTGTGTTTAAATAAATAATGGAAAAAACAAATAACGGCTGTTTCCTGTTTCCGTGACTTAAACTGCAATACTGGACTGAACCAGGACTGAACCAGGACTGAACCAGGACTGAACCAGGACTGAACCAGGACTGAACCAGGACTGAACCAGGACTGAACCAGGACTGAATCCAGGACTGAACCAGACTGATCCAGGACTGAACCAGGACTGATCCAGGACTGATCCAGGACTGAACCAGGACTGAACCAGGACTGAACCAGGACTGAACCAGGACTGAACCAGGACTGAACCAGGACTGAACCAGGACTGATCCAGGACTGAACCAGGACTGAACCAGGACTGAACCACTGGACTGAAACCAGGACTGAACCAGGACTGAACCAGGACTGAACCAGGACTGATCCAGGACTGAACCAGGACTGAACCAGGACTGATCCAGGACTGAACCAGGACTGATCCAGGACTGAACCAGGACTGAACCAGGACTGATCCAGGACTGAACCAGGACTGAACCAGGACTGAACCAGAACTGAACCAGGACTGAACCAGGACTGAACCAGAACTGATCCAGGACTGAACCAGGACTGAACCAGGACTGAACCAGGACTGAACCAGGACTGATCCAGGACTGAACCAGGACTGAACCAGGACTGATCCAGGACTGAACCAGGACTGAACCAGGACTGAACCAGGACTGACTGAACCAGGACTGAACCAGGACTGAACCAGAACTGATCCAGGACTGAACCAGGACTGAACCAGGACTGATCCAGGACTGAACCAGGACTGATCCAGGACTGAACCAGGACTGAACCAGGACTGAACCAGGACTGAACCAGGACTGATCCAGGACTGAACCAGGACTGAACCAGGACTGATCCAGGACTGAACCAGGACTGAACCAGGACTGAACCAGGACTGAACCAGGACTGAACCAGGTCTGAGTGTTGGGATGGGCCTGGGGGTGCGCCCACGTAGACCGTTGGGTGATGAGGACTGAGACCGAGATCAGACCGGGACCAGACCAGGACTGAGACCGGGTCTGAGACCAGGTCTGGTACCGGGACTGAGACCAGGACTGGTACCAGGATTGAGACCAGGACTGAGACCAGGACTGAGACCGGTTTAGTCCTGTTTTAGACCTGGTTTAGTCCTGGTTCAGTCCCGGTTCAGTCCTGTGAAATGCTGTTGTATTTTTGACAGTCAAGTCACGTCTGTGAATTTGTTTTTGTACTGAAGAAAGTCTAAACATACATTTTCTTTGCATTGTAACTTTATGTACGACTGGACTCATTCCAGAGTTTATGAATATTTATTTTATCTTCAACTACAGCCAAATATGCATGAATTTCGTTTTTTTTTTTTTGTTTTTTTTTGTAAAAGGTGTTATTTTGTTTAACATAATCGCCTAAAATATTAGACAAGCGCAATTTAAGTCATGAAAACTGGAAATGACCATGACTCATTTAAACACAAAATCAAAAACTGAGAAAAAAAAAATCATTATCCGTTTTTTCATTTTGGTTTTGGAGACAAATAATGAAGAAAATAGTTGGTTTTATTCTGAAAAACAAAATGAACGTATGACAAGGATTAAACTCTATTCTCAGAAAAGTCCATTTGAACTCGTGCAGATGTTCAGATTTCATGTCTCTTATGACTTAATCCTGACGCTGAAAAAGAAGAACATCACAGGTTAATGAGTC